CTGAACTCCCGACCATGTAGCAGATTAAAGTGATGAAGACATGAAATGTATGCTTTTGAGGTGTCTTGAAGGGGTGCTCAGCAGTAACATGCATCTGTTGGACTGGAAGTCCAATTTACATGTTGCAGAAAGGGATTGGATGTGTAATGAGATCTGATATCTCCATTGGTATAGGATAGTCATGGCTTTTAATAGATTATCCTAGTGTCCATATAGATATTTACAAAGACATTGATTTCCCACATTTTTGTCCCAGTGCTCCATCCTAGTCCCTAATGCTGATGGGCAGAACGAGAAGCCAACCCATCAATGCAGCATGGCAAAAACACTCCTCCAGTGACTTGGAGGCCCTGGCTCTGCTGCAGAGCCTGACAAAAACACATCTGACATCCCACTGCTCCTCAGATGGAATTGCTGCAGCCACTCGCAATCTTGTGATACTCACTACTTCTCCCAAGAAATATTACAGGCTGGCTCATTTCTGACCATAAAGCTCCAAAAAAACAAATAAAATCTCAGCTCCAAAGTCTTGGAAATTAGGAGGGGGAAGGGCAAGGAAAAGAAAGCTACCTGAACATTCTGGTGCAGAAAATGAATTCAGTTTGCAATCTAATGCCCTATTTTTAAAACTCCACATTAAAGATGGATATTAGCAGCATATACTTAGGTTCATATTTCTAAAATTTTGAAAGACCTGCATTCCTCTGATTTTGCCATTTCTAACCAACATAGTCATGAATTAGGCTCATTTTTTTCCTACCCATATTGACCACGATGCTGCATGGGAAATCAAGAGTAATTTCACACAATAGCACTTTTTGTTTTGAGAACTTCACACATAAGACAACAAGCAGATTTTTATTTTCTAAAGGTTCTCATTCTGCTTTGGGGAAAAAAAACTTACAAAGAAAAGGAAAATAAAATATCCCATAAAACACATGGCAACAAAAAAATTAAGAATATTATCCTTTCTGTGATGTTGAGTTTTCTTTTTATTTGCCACTCTGGCTGGCAGTAAATACTGTAGGAAAAAAATGCAAGTTGACAAAATAACAAAAACTATATAACTATATATAGTTTGCTATTTAATCAGCTTCAAAGAAAAAAATAAATGAGCAAAGCCAGATATTTCTCTTCAGAAGCAGCTGATTTCACTTAAAATGGAGAAAAAAAAAAAGATCATTAGAAGTACAATGATCATTAGAAGATAATGAATGTGTTCTTCTCCTGCATTTGTAGAAAGACCCAAAGCACCTTTTCTTTCCACATTCTATATTACAGCTCCTCTCCAGACTTAGCTGAGAATATCCCCAAGTCTAATGGGTTAAATGCTTATTATACCACTGTCTTATTTGTAACATAAGGCACCTACTACAAGCCTACTCTTCATGCAAAATTGCCAATTTATAGCAATATTCCTTGTTTAGAAAACAAGGCTATCCAAACACTATAATTACAATATGCACCAGCAGGCATAACCCTGCATTAATGCACAGACTCCAGATACATTCGTCAAATAGAGTTTTTTTTCTCTTTGCCTTCTTCTCAGGGTACTTTTAAGTTCAGGGACAGAGAACATGTCTTCATTAGAAACATTAACATTCACAGGCTGTAGTAAATTTTGACAGTGAAAAGGTCTCTGTAACCTTTAGTTGTGCAGAAATTTACTTCCCAAGAAAATTACAGCTGGCACTGTCTTAATTAATGCTAGCTTTCTTTTCTGAAAATTGTGGGCTTGTCAGTAAAAAAGGCAGAAAAACCTGAGTTTAAAAGACTGGACACAAAAGACGCCTAGAAATAAAGCCCTGCAAAATTTCATAATATTGCTCTGTTTTTGTTCTACAGTAAGGAGATGAAAAGATCTAATTTGATTTTGCCAAATGGAGCAACATATATGTAATATAGAAATGATTTGCATTCTCTCTTTTGTCTTTTGAGTTTTATCATGTAAAGAGTGCTTTTTAAGCCGTTCTGTTTTAAAAGCAATAGGTCAAATAAAATCTATATCTGCAGGGGGAGGGGAATAAGGTATGACTTCATTATTTTTTTTAGCATTGCTTTAAATGCTCCTAGTAAATCATAGCCAACGGTAAGAAATGCAGCAGTGTTGTTCATGTGTTTTTTAATCTCATGACATCTTTTTTTCCTCATTTCTAAAATTATTTTAGTATTAGTGTACAAATTTTGTCCTTAATAGTCACCTCCTACATCTCTCAGAGTTCTGTTTTGATGATATAGATACTTTTTCTTTGATCATTTATTTTCTGACTGAATTTTGATCATCATGCAGGGTTTTTTAATTTCTTGACAAGGAGTTAAATATATACCCTACCTCTGAACAGCATTTTCTTACACACTGGTTGTATTATTGTTAAAAGCAAATAGATTTTTTTTTCCTTCCTTTTTTTTTCCTTAAATATAGAATGAGCAATAAGATGCTTCTACATTATTTGTCACCAGAATCTCCTGGATATTGCTTATGCACTTCCTCGTATACTCTTTCAGAAGAGATTTACAGCATTTTGTGTTTGGAATTACTGTGCAGTTCCCAGCTCCATCACTGGAAGCAATAAAGCTCCAGTTCCACATAAGATTCTTGCATACCAGGACATGACACCACTTTGGCACTACGTGAAGCACCAATACTGCGTGTCAGCTGTTCAAAACATTTTATGCAAGTTCCTACAAGCACTTTAAATTAAGGTGCCCTGTATAAATGGTTTATTCATGTTTATGAAATGATTAGTTGGTGCCACTACATCCTCTAATAACTTATTGTAAGGCATGTTATAAAATGCATCATCAATAAATGCTTAAAATGCTGCCACAGCAAGGTGATAAGCTGTTACAACAATATTTTAAGATGTAAGTATTGTTCAAATAGTTTGTCTGCTGTTTCAATGCACACTCCCAAGTTTTTTTTACAAGCACGTTATTGAATGCTGTATAAATAATAAAATATTTATATAGATCACCTTAATTTAAAGTGTTACTATGTTTCCATAACTTCAGTGGAGACGCCACATAGCCTGAACATGCTGGAAGGTACAGAAAGGCATCAGAAGTGAAACATCCCTATCTTAGATGCAAATCTCTGTATTATCACCCTGAGACAGAGAAAAATCACAGCATTCCCCAGACACAGGATTTGTATTTTCAAGGCCTGAACCATTAACCATTTAAAGAGTTGTCATGAATAAGGGGAAAGAAACCAAAAGCAGGCACCTAAAGTCTGAAATCCTGAAAAAATGTCACACTCAAAACGTTTTGGTTGATTATTGCACTTGGTAATGTTAATGAAATAATAAAATCACAGTGTGGCTTATGGAGCCCATATGGGCAAATGTAGGATGAAGGCCTCTCTCTGCCACTTTCCATACTGGAAAATAAACAAGAATAACATTATGGACAAATGTAATAAAAGGAGTACAGTTATGAAGCACACACTGACTGGGACATGAGCATTTATCTGCTCTCAGCTTAGCCGCAATGAGCAGGAAGACTTAAGGGATTCTCCAAAAGGGAATGTAACCTCTGGAAGGGAAAGCCAAATTCCTTGCTTAAAAACATTTCACTGATTGAAAGAGCATAACGAGGGGGTCTAAGGACATACTTACATAAGAGATCAGTCAAATGTCCTTTGCTCATTCTCAAATTCACTGAACTACTTACAGAAGGGAGGAGACTGAAGAGAAGCACTTCTCCATATTGGCTCAAACATTGGGAATTCCACTCCATTCTCTGGGATTCCCTGTGGCCTTGGATCACTCTATGAACAGACTGAGACAGGCCTTATTCCAGCTGGAGGAAAGGCAGCCTAGCAGATACTCAGTAGGGCTAAGGAGACACAGCCAAAGGGAAAGTCTGCCCCTGAAGGAAGAGAGACAAAAGGAAAAGTCTACCCTTGAAAGAAGAAACCTGTCCTCTAAGGAAGGAGGGAAGGCCAAAGGGTGGTGAGACACAGAGCTAAGACACTGTGTAAGGACACAGCCTGGGTCAGTAGGTCACACTTGCCCACCCTGCAGTGGTCAGAGCCCGGCACAGTCACACACACTCACACAAACACACAGACAAACACACTCACAAACACAAACACACACACAAACACAAACACACTCACAAACACAAACACACACACAAACACACACACACAAACACTCACACCCCATCACAGTGTGGCTCACAAGTGGTTCTGAGCTCAGGCAGCTCCTTGGAGGGGGGACATGCAAACACTGCTATGCCCTTTCCACTGTCCCAGTTGCCCACTGAGAATACTCCAGCCCAAATTGTCTCCTACAGATTTAAAAAACGATGTTGAGCCCTGCCCCTGCCAGGATGTGCCTTGTTTTGGGCTCTGTGGATGACTTCAAGGACAGGTTTAGCTCCTAAAGGAATCAAAATAAAAGGCTCAGTACTGATGTTCTCTCTCTTCCTTTCCACAATAGTTGTTTCTCTTTGGACATGACTGATCATAAACTTAATAAACCACTGAATATTCATCTTTTAACACATTGGAGTACATAAAGGAACTCTTAGTAATTAGCATTTCTGAACTCGTACTCTGCAAATTTATTTCCTCAAATATTTTTTTTTACATGATTTATTAAAAAATAAAGCCAAACACTTGGTTCTTAGATCCTGACCCTCTAACCACACACATATGTGATGTGCATGCAAAAACCCAGCTCTTTCATGGGTTCTTTGAGAATTTGTAGTCTCGGCTTGTGGTTTAAATTATATGAGTGTTTCTAGGTTTTTCAGTGCTGTCAGAATAATTTTTCTGTGTCTTTCTTGTCAATTTCCAAGAACCACAGAGATGTTTCTTCTAATTTTTTTTTTCATTTTCTAAGTCTAAACAATTTTCAGATATTTCCCAAAATTCTTGTGCAATGAGATCTTACTTAATTTCTAATAAATGAATTATTTACATGGAAATTTATATGTGACTATTATTATATAGATTGATATACAATTTACTCATATATTAGTTTAGGCTTTGTTACTTCACAAATTTTATTGAATGGCATTTTTGAAATTTAGTGGCCTACAGAGTTACTCCCACAGACTATATTTGCCTCACACAGGTTTGGCTTTCCTTCTCACATTTCTGCATCATAGCCTGGCAGTGTGGAGCCTCCTTTTCCCCTCCCTGTGGGCAGGGCATGGCCAGCAGTGGGTTTTCTTGGTAGGCAGGATCCTGACACAGGGGGGAACACCTTCTGATCTGTGTCCTGTAAAATGACAAAACCAATACCCATCTGTAGGCTCACATTTATGTCATTTTCTGAGGCATGTCAGATGTTTACTATCTCTAAAGCAAAAAAAAAATTGACTTATTAGCTTGTACTGTTCATCTGTTAGAAGCTCAAGAGTGAGATATGACAGCTGTGGATTGGTTTTACTCCCAGCAACCTCTGGCAGTTTGGCAGATGTTTCCAGCCATTTTCTAGCCATTCTGATGCAAACTTAGGAGGTTTTTAAATTTTTCCAGTGGACCTTGGGTGAATCTGAGTTCCTGTCAAATGTCTTCCTTAACCTCTGACTTAATTTAAAAATAGTATGAGATAGATACGAGATATTTACTTATTCCTTCATTTATAAAGCATGGAATCTTAGTGCATTACATATTTACCTGTTAAATCGTTATATATCTACTTGAAAAGAATTATGAGTGGACTTTCAGACACCATCATCTACCAATATTCATCACTAATACCTCATTTTATTCTTTTGTGCGTGAGAGACTTGAAAATACTTATCTCTGCCTTTCAAGGAAATCATAAATTTCTGGTGTGCATGCGCACTCTGCAATATCTTCTTGTTAAGCAGAGAGGGCCCTCAGGGCACAACAGCATGGTGTGGTATTTTTGTCTTTTGTTAACATGTGACACTTGTATTTGCCCCAAGATAATGTACAAATATGGTTTAGAGGTTTTCCTAACGGTAATCATGATGTTTCTTCTTGCCCTTCTAATACTAAATTTAGTCTCCTGGCCTCCCCCCATGCACAGCCCTCTCCCCCCTCACTCGTGGTGAGTCTGACATTCAATTTGGAGACTAATGTCAGCAAGAAATCCATATGTACTCCTCATGGTAGTAGGCATATCCCTTCAAATTTATTTTTAGGTTTCAATGGAATGAAGTGATATTTTCTTCCCTCAGTCATTACCTTCATAGCATTTTCTACCTTTCAGATGTTTACAAAGGAGAAATGTATGTTTTCTTACTGAAAATATTTTTGTCTTCAAATTGAATGTACACTGGTATGCACAATGACATTTGTAAGATTTGTTTTACAGCTCTATAAAGGAGAATTTTTTGCAACAGAAGAGTAAAAATAAGTTTACATTTGGAGCACAGCAAAGCTCAAACCACAGATACTCCGAGGGTATTTAGAATTTCCAGAGCAATCTGTTCTTGGCCTGTTTCTAAATAAATATTCAATTCCTTCAAAACCAGTATACCATTTTGGTGTTTGAGACTAAGATAACCTAACCCATAACCTAAATAAAAATAATTCTACATTGAGAGACCCGTTCAGCACATTTCTTTTAACATTTCTGAGCTAATACCAGTCTGAGATGGAAATAAATCATGCTTGGCCATCATTTTGATACCTTCAATCCAACATTTAACCACCAGTTGTTCACCACAGCCCTGAAAGTCTATGAAGGATGACACAGACCCACCCCTGTTCTGGAAATCTCAACACAAAATTCCAAGGATGGCTGTATCCCAGCCTGGCTCGTGTGTGCGCTCTGCAGCCCCCAAATGCACTGGCACCCACTCAGGCTAAGTTTGACCCTCGTGTTCTGCTGGGGGTGCCAGTCATGGAGAGCTGCTGGCCAACACTTCCAAAAGCACCTAAAGAGTAAATAAAGAAACAATGCAATATCTTAAGTACTTGTTGGGGATACAAATTGATTGCCTTGCTGCACCCCAATTATAGCAAACACAGAATTAATTAAGAACCTGGGTCTGTGCTCTATCTTTCCTTCCAGAACATATTGGATAAGCATCACAAAATCTTAATTCATCCAACTTAGAGTGTTATGCAGATCATGGAAAAGTTGCTTACATAATGGGCAAGAAAACCAGGAAAGCAGAAATCTGAGCTATGAGGATCTGTTCCAGGCAGCCTGACCCGCTGGTTGCAAAGGTTCCTTTGGAGCAACATTTCTGCTTGGTCTTTCTCAACTGCAAATGTACAAAATTATCTTCTGAAGGAGACACAGAGAATCAGAATCTGAATTCTATTAAGCCTCACCTGTGCATTCACTGTGCAGAGCAGGGAGAAGGCTGTGGTTGGTGACAGCTCCTTTATTCCCATCTCTGATCTGCTCCACTCATCTTCTGGGGAAGATCTCTGTGGGCTTCTGTCCCCTGGATCTGTTCCCACAGCTCCCATTCTCCTTCGCCATCTCCAGCAGAGAGGAGCTGATAGCCCTTAGCAAGAAGGAATACACCAACAATTATTATGTTCTGTGTTAGAAGCAAGAGCTTTAAAAAATATTTTCTCACACACATATTATTTTTAAAGCACAACATGATTTTTAGAACCTCTCATTATTTGTTTATTTTTAGCACATATCAAACCACAGCAGTTCTCCCTCCAGGCTATATTTGACAAAGTTACAGAGACTTTCCAGGCCACCTCAAAGCAGAGATTAATCCAAACAATTTAAACCTCTCACTGTTCCACAGGAGGATGGCATTCGATTGGATTATTTAGGGACGACAAAATGTTTTTGTTGATGAGAGAGATGAAATCCTCAGAGAGGGAAATCAATCTTATGTAGAGACCCTGGAGCATTGATCTTGGTGTACATTGACAATTTCTGGTTGTTTAGCTATTTGGAATGACCGCACAAAATGATCAAGTTGTTATAGTTTTAAGGTTTTGGTATTTATTGGCAACCCCAGTGCTCATATGATTAATCACACATTCAGAGTGTGAGCTCAGTAGAAATTGACTGCAACGCAGCAGAAACAAAGTTTTCAGTTATCATTGTGTAATAAATTGAAGCTCTATCCCTAAGCTGATTTGTCTTCACGTTTCCAATTTGCCTTGTTAAAAGCACTGTTTATACAGTAGTTAGCAAAAATGCAAGTAATTACACACAGAATTCATTCTAAGCAATTCTGTATATTTTTTTTACTCTTTATTGGTTTTCTATCTTCATTATCCAATATTTTGTTGTACCTAAGCAGAAACCCCATTCAATAAAAATCAAAAAGGCCCTTGGAATGGGGACTTCCTTATATTGAGGACAGCATTTCCTGGATATAATGCTACAAGTCAAGGCTTTCAGAACAAACTAATCCAAATGCAAGCATCCTTTAATAAACCACTTTTCTCTTTGTACTTGAACTCTCTGGTGCTTCCCAGTGAGAAGCAGAACAGAAAGACAAACAGTTTGGTTTATATGTTATATTTCATTTCCTGAGATATTATTTATTCAGAAGGAACATTCTTTCAAACACAGCAAGAGTTTTAGATACACATTTCACATTGTAGGAATATCTTTCTCTCTTACCAGAAAAAAAAAAAACAAACTCAAAAGAAACAAAAATCAAACAAAACAAAGAAAACCTATAACTGGAAATTTGGAAGCATTTTGGGGAATAAAAAAAATGTCTAAGAGAATATATTTAAAATTAGGAGTTCCAGGTAGGGAAAAGTATGGAATCTATGAAGGAAGGAGGTGCTCTAGCCTTGGTGTAGTGGTAGAGACTTGTGCTGGCAAAGACTGATAATGCTTTATAGCCTTTCCCTGGGATCTCACTGTAACCTCGAAGCAAGCAGTTGCTAGGATGTACTTGCTAAAGATAAGAGCAAAATTGTGGAACTGAAAGGGGAAACCCTGTAAGGCTGGCCTTGTGCTTCCCTGGAGAGGCTTACATACTCATAATGTACAGAAACTATAACCAGATCAGGAGAGACCTAATTACAGAGCTCAGAGATGTTAATGACACACAGAAATTTACATGCAGCTGAAAATATGAATATCTCTAAGCCAGCAGTCTCATCTCCACAGGGCTGACTTCAGAACCTATGTTTTATAATCTGGGAGCCTTCTTTTCTTTAAGGTGGAGCCTTTTAAGTAGTCAAAACCATCTATTTTTTAAGTGAACAACACTAACAATAAGCCGCCATAAAATTGTATTGACTGAGATATTATTTTCTGTTTGTAATTCCTCCTCTTATGCTCTGTCTGAATAGGGCTTGCAACAATAATTCCTCACATTTATCTTTCCATCTTTCACTTTCAAAATCCTATATCTAATTTGGACACAGCAATCTTCAAAACAATGAATACCCTTTTAATTTACTCAGACCTTTAAAGAAAAAAATACTGAATTATTAGAGTTCTTATTAGGTACAAAGAAGGAATTTTTTTTATGCTTATATTTATTTATTTTACCAATTTGTGTGACACTGTGGTTGTGTAGCTGACTGACTTCCACGTTCCTTGTTTCTCTTTAGCTTCAGGGAATCATCCCCTATATCTTTACCTGCAGTGGAGATAAGGAGTTGTCACAGCTGCTGTCCATGCAGTCCTCAAACCAGAGAGTACTGCAATAAATCCTATTTTATTTTATGGACAAATAAATGCTGAGGTAAAATATTCGAGGATCGTTGCTTGAATACTTGCCATAGCAGCGCTACTGTAATAACCACCATGACATTAATTTACTGCAATGTGCCGTAGGAAGAAGGAAGAAGGAGGGAGAAGGGCATTAAAAGAGAAAAATTACTATCCTTTGGATTTATTGGGATTGGCCTTCCTCATTTTCAGCCATCATTAGTTGATTAGGTGCTGATGACAGTATGGACAAGCGTGCTAGAATAGTTGGCTAAGAAAGCCCTGAAGGTACTCTGTTAATTGAGATGATGTTCATATTGTACTTACTGAACATAACTGCAGACAGTGAAATAAGAGCTTAGTGTTGTGCAACAGACCACAGGAACAGTCACTCATTATCAGTCTGTAAAGGGGTGAAAACACTGCATATGGGCTACATATTAAAATATTATTTTAATATAGTTCATATTAAAACACAGAGAAGCCTATTGTGAGAAACTGTAGTTTATCCACCTTTCTGGGAGGCGTTGGGAAACCTGTCTAATGCTGTTCCACAGTTCCATTAGGGAAACATTATGGTATCAAAGGAACTGACAATTTACTTATGCCTTCATCTCACAAGAGCTATGCACCTGAACATCATGGAACAGCCAGATTTGCTTGCCCACTAGAAACTTAAATGTTACTGATACTCTTTTAGTAATTATATTCCATATACCTAAAATTTTAAGGTAGTTTGGAGAAAGTGGCAAAGAAATGCTACTCTATTTCTCTTTTAATCTTGTTTGTGAAAATTTAGCATTATACATGAAGAGAGAAATGTGTAACCTCTGAACAGAGCCCGAAATGCAATAGATACACGAAATCAACTAAATTTTGGTAACAATTGTAATGCTATTAACAATGACACCATAATGTTAAATATTTCAATATGGACATTAGCCTGCCCATTGCTATGGCCAGGGTGAATTTCAAACTTGGTGCCTAGTCAGTCACACAAAAAAACCCTCTAAAAGCTTCAGAATGCAAAAGATAGCAATTTAAAGGATCCTTTGAATATTTAGACAAATCCACAACTTTTTTCTGAACCAATAGTCCTCTGAACATATTATCCTCAGAGCAAAATTATCTCTGTTCTTGAAGCACTGTGCTCAAACTTTAAGAAACTCTGAAAAGTGAGAAAATTAAATCTGGCCATTAGAGTGCCCATATTGAACACATCCAATTAAAGGTAACAAGTCTTCAACAACATCAGAAACAGCTCACAGTCCACAGAACTATGAAAATTCAGAAAACATTGCTTAGTCATAACGACACATTGTTCCTACTGATGAAGCATTCGTATCAGCTGTGTTAAAGATAAATATTAGTATTTACTAACTTACAATGGTAGAGATCACCAAGGCCCAGTTGGTAAACACTCAGCTCGTGAGATGGTGGGTGGCAAAACAACTCTTCCTGACCCAAACAGAAACTCATTTCTTTTGGTCATTCATGAGTCAGAAATTTCATTTTGTAAGATATGTTAGCAATATCTACACTAGAAATATTCAGGAGCCTGGGTCAAAAACCAACACAGAAGTTTAGGCTGTGCCTACTATGAGAAATGTACAATGGACCTGAGGATTTAAAACCCCATCTTTTTTGACTTAGCTAGTATTTCAAGTGCATTAATACAGTCAAATGAGAAATACCACATACAATTGGCCATCCATGCTCATAGATATTGTTGGCATCACTGATCTCCAGCCCAGTTTTGTTATGGATGTTATTAGCATTCGAGGGCTTCTTCTGCCATCAGATTCTTCTAACAGTAAATATGGTTCTATTTTTCATGTCCAGTGAGATAATAAATGCCTCCTTCTTCCAAACAATATCTATTGTGACTTTGGCATTCAGCTCAGGGGAAGGGGAGTAGCGATTGACCACATTATTGGATATCTAGATACAACATGGCAACATCATCAGCAAAAGGCTTTGAAACTCTAGCAAATAGACTGAGGTAGCCACAAGAAAAATGAAGAATATTTGAAGAGTCAAGATAAGGGATCAAGATACCAGAAAGAAACAGGATCAGAGACATGCAATACTCTCAAAAATGTTAGCACAAAAACATTCCCTTTAAGATACTCATCCAGGAAAGCTCTAACAGGATCAGGCTTTTATAGTTCATGTTGTCTGTCTGTTTCTAAAATCATTGTGATTGTGGATTCATGTATTACTGTCATGGCAGTGACAGAGAACAGATCTGTTTAAAGTGTGCTTTACCAAGGCCTGTCAACATTTGAACTAGAAGAGTGATAGATTTGACAGGTTTGGGAGATACTGTTTCCTGCCACTACCCGGGAGGGCTGACACGAGAAGCAGAAATACGCCAGGCCCAAGCACTGAAGTTTTCACCACGTCTTGCTGCTGGCCAGGCACAGCGATGTTGCATAACTAAAGACAGGAAAATAATTAATGTTTAATGTGTAAATCAATCCCAGTGGAGTCCAGTTGTTATCTGCAGAATGGGAAAGCACAGAATGAGGTGGAGTGACACACAGGATAGTAGTGCTTATGACAATGCCATGAAATTGGTGGAGACAAGACAAGGAGTATGAAGGCTGTGCAAGTTTTATCTTTGTTACCAAATGCACTGCTGTGAAATAAGGACAAATAGGGTAGCAGCAGGAAATTCTGCATAAATGATGATATCTTAATTTTGTAGAATTTAAATTTAAATTTTAATTTACAGCATTGCTTGTAAACAAAGACTAAAATATTTTTTCTCTCACCTCAAATATAGAAAATCAGCTGGTCTAAAATTAGAAAAAAAAACAACTCCCAGCCCAAGTTAGATTTGTTACACAGGAATTACAGCATGAAGACTTGCATCTTAAGAACATCCACAAAAGTAATGTTGTTACTAGGGACTGGTTGCTTGCAGTCTGGGGTCCTTTTTAAGACAAATTTGATCTCTGAGTTGCAAGGCTCTCTAAAATAATCCAGCTCCTCCTGTTTCCAACTTTTACAGCTGAAACTCAGTCCTCCTTTCCTCCCTGATACCTTGAGGACACATCTCAGAGTGCTTCTATCCCTTTCCTCAGCAGCTATGAACCACTGTGCTCATCCTTTGCTCCCAGAGGGAACATGCTCACCCCCCTGTGCCAGGGATGCTGAGTACAGGACAGCTTTTCCCCTGCCCACAGCTCCTCATCTACTCCCTTTGCTCCAAAGCTGTCTTTGTGCCTCCAGACTCAGCACAGCTGCCTGGCTGTGCTCCCTCCTTCACACCTTGCACCTTCCAAGATGTTCCTTATTTTCCCATGCAACCTGGCTTTACTTCACTGTCTCTGACAAGTTATTCTCTCTCCAGGTCCCGTATCAGTCAACTTCCATCCCTTAACGTGGTCTCACCTTACTAAACCACTTTATTCAAATTTCTGTAAAGTCATAGATTTTGCATTGCTGTATTCCATTTATGCACAGGTGTCTTGCCAAACTCTCTTTATCTTCAATACCAGATCTTATCTCATCCCATATAACTCCTCCTTACCTAACCTCACCTCCACACAAACTCAGTCTGATTGCTGCCCGGCACAGTGAGAAGCAGCCACTGCTTCACTCTACACCTGCTCAGAGGGGCTGCTACTCCACTCTGCCAACCAGAACATCACACAGAGGGCTCTACCCTGCACTAGCCTCTTCACTCAGCATTACTTTCATTACCAGGACTCTTGCTCCACCCATACACCATTGCAGAGCCTTCTCTTCACACCAATAGACACAGTGGAGTGTGGCATCAGGCTTGCAGCCTCTCGCTGATAAGCAGATGGAGCTTCAGTCTAAACAGTTCTTCCATTACAGCATCATGCTGAGTAACTGAAACAAGCATTATCCAGTGCCACAGGAAAGAGAACAGGATCCATTTTTCAGAACAGTGGGTGAGAGCTGATTTTTGTTTTCCCCCACCCCTTTAAGGGGTTCTGCATTTAAAGCAAAAAAAAAAAAAAAATAGGAAGTGTTTATAAGGGAAATGAAAATGAGCAATATCCTTGTAGTTAATTATATACACCCAAACTTAGTCTTTTTTTGGCTGTTGTTTTTTAATCTATATAATCAATGTACACCAACCTGGTTTTTCAAATGACCAGGTGCCTTGGGAGTGATGAAATTTAAGCTGAATTTCTTGTAACACAATTTAAAATGTGCTAGAGCTATTGGAAAGGGTATTAAGAACATTTCTCAGGACTCTAGCACCTATGAAGCAGTTCAGTTACACAGCAGAGTGTTTTATCTTCCTTCCCCAAGCTGGAGAGATAAGATTAAAACACGGGTACCATTACTGCAGAAACCACCTTTGCATCAAGAAATCTAATGAACAGTATGCGTCAGTGTGTGATGTTATTCAACTCATCTGCAGCCCACACTCAATTAATTCACCTTCTCAGCACTTTCCTAAACAGTTAATATTGGACAGTAAAATAGTACCTGAGTTTCTTGTTTTCAGGTTCATAACAGAAAGGGCTAGGGGCCAGAAAACCTATTCTTTTATTCTCTTCATTGAGGAGATGAAGAAAGATGAGTCTCTTGGGGGAAGAGGGGAAGTTAATTAAGAAAATCTTCAAAGTGTTTAATTTTGCTACACATAAGTCTGTCTATACAGTTCTTAGAGAAGGTTCGATCACTAGCAAAACAAACCATGATGGATTCTTATGCAACCTCATCAAAACAGGCAGAAGGATATTGGGATTTGCATCACTGCTTCCCCATCACTGCTTCTTCGTATCAAGAGAAAGATGGGCTTGCTTTCTCCTCAGAGAGAATGACCAAAAAATGACCATAGTCTTCAATAGTTTCAAAATCTTGATACATGTTACTCTTATCTGGGTGCCCACCTCCTAATGCTCCTGTAAAATGGAAATGAAGCTGTCCTGTCCCTTTACT